CATTTGCAAATATCTCGACTTGTCTACAAGACAAATGGATATTTTTTTTCATCCAAATAAAGACAAGTGAGCAAACTTTAAGATGATACCAATAGCTCTATATGCCCATAAAATTGACGAGAGCCTGATTCTACCACGCTGCCTCAGTATAGCCATATAACATGGCTTTACTCATTCAAACTGCGCGGGGGATATAATTCATCAGTTACATAAATAACGAAGCCCAGTTCAGAATATACGAAGTCACTGTTACCCCTTTTAGATTTAGTAAGAGGTTTGCTACACTTGCAACACAATAAGGTCATATAAGTGCTGAAGATTAGAGGTGTTACAACAGATTTACAGACTCAAAAAGGAGGAGGAGGAGGAGGAGAGATATACGTACGATAGATGTTAAATAGGAGAGACGGAGAAATCCACAACACAGCACCCGCCAACCAACCACGCGTTACCCCTTAGCGTTCTCTGGAAAAGATGCACATTTTTAGACACCCAAAATTCATCTTGAAATGGATCTCACTATGCAGGCAGAAAGAAAAGAACAAAAGTATTTATTTAGAGTCACAATCGAATCGCCTATGTGAAAGACAGACAGACTAAATAAATGACGATAGAGAATGCGTACATATACAACACATAATAACTATTTTTAAAAAATTAACACCTAAAAACAAAACAAAACAAATTGAAAATTGGTCAAGCCTTCTCGCCTTGCTTAAACAAACAGTATTAACTTTTTTCTGTCCGAATAACATAACCAATCATATAGCCTGTTCATTTGTCTTGCTTTTAAAGAAAAAAATATTCGTCTTTCTTGAACAGAAGTCGATATATTTGTGATTGAAGGAGGCGGGGATCGCCTGGTGTCAGAGGTAAATTTAACCAGGAAAGGGCCATCAAAGTAAGGTGAATTTAAAAACTGCAAATTAAAATTTTATTTTTTGGCCTTTGATTACCGTTTTTCAGTAAATTTCACGTAAAAAGGTGTCTTTAAATTAATTGCCATAAAAAGGTATCTAAAATTAGAATAAGGCCAACTCAAAAAAAATTAAAAAATTCGATAAAAATTGCCAACCAAACGGGTTTCTTCGATTAAATTTTTTTGATGAGAGCCTGATTTCATCGCAACACCACACCTTATTTCTTAAAAAAGTAGGATTTTCCCCCCCTTTTTTTTGGTTGTTTGTTTGTTATTTATTTTCGGAGGGGAAGGGGTGAAGCCGCACATACATGGCCAGTTTGCACCAGACACCATCCCCATTTTGGGCGCT